CAGCTGTCCTGGCTGTGCCCCCTCCCAGCTTCTTGTGCACCTGGCAGAGCATGGGAAGCTGAAAAGTCCTTGACTGGTGTAAGCACTGCTTAGCAACACCTAAAACATCAGTGTTATCAGCATTATTCTCATGCTAAATCCAACCCACAGCACTATGCCAGCTACTAGGAAGAAAATTAACTCTATCCCAGCCAAAACCAGGACAGTGAGGCAAGTTGCATATGATTTCAAGTAAATGTCATTCATTACAGTTGAGACTTGGCTCTTGATTATCCAGTACAACTCCATGCTGGGGACCGAGAGAGATGGAGACAGGTGATGGCAAAATTAGGCTCTAATAGGCTGAGGAAGTGTATAAGGGAACTATAGTTTACAGTTTAATCCTCAGTCTATGGAGTGGAAGGTAAACCTGGGTGCTGAAAACAAGTCTTGCAAGGAATCTGTAGAAGAGCTGAGAGTTACAGAAACATTTCTTTTAAGAACACGTGAAAACAAACTTTTCACAACTCTTCCAGCATGAACTTTTGCCAAATATATGTTCTCCTGTTGTATCAGATACGTTTTTGTGAAAGTTTTTGTTAAAATATGAACGTCCCTGACTTCTGCTTTTGAAAAATTAACCTTTACCTGTGCTTCTTGGCAGCTCTCTGCTTGGACCCAGGTTTGTCAAACAGCACGACACACATTGTGAGCGTTACCATTAATGGAGATGAGGCTGAGAACACAAGACCTAAGCAAAAACTTGGTGAGTTTTGTACCATTTATTTGAAAATTCTGAGAAGACAACAAAACAGTGGGTTTAAAAGAACTACCCCTACCACTGCATCTCTTCTGTCCTAGCTGATTTAGATGCTGCATGTCCTTCAAATCATACCCTGCAGTCTAGATAAGCACAGCCACGTTTCTTTGCTAAATTCACTGGGGAGGCTTAGATGTAATGTGCCAGGCATTGGCACACCCAGAATGAGAAATCCAGGTGCCAAAGTTCAGTAAGGGCCGTAAGCACTTGTGAACCTAGATATTCCTTAGCTGTGGCTTGACCCTGGAAGTAACTACAGCGTCACTCAAGATTGGTCAGCTATCAAAATGCTTTTAAGTTGTAAACTCAAGTGGATTTCAAAATCTGTAACTTACTACTTTTTTTTTTTTAATTGCAGATGATGGAGGTACGTTACGTAGCTGTGCTCACAGGGACAGTGTGATCTTTGTATGGCAAGTTTTACTTAGAAAAATGTCAGTTAAAACTGTTTTTTATTTGGGATTGGCTAATCTCCTGACCCTAATCAAACATGCCCGAGATTAGCTTTGGCCTAGACATGAAAGTTCCCATGGGGCATTATCGTGTCAAGTATCACACCTATAGTGCCAGTATCTCAGGAAATACAAATTACTGAATCCACAACAGTTGTACATCAAGCCCCAAAGAAACAAATTCAGATAGGCAGGGCGGGTGTGAGTCAACACAAATTCATCAAGAACAAACCCTTTGTCTTTGTGTTGTTTCGGTCTTCAAACGCCTCTACTGGTATAAGCCAAACCAAAGTCCACTTCAAGGGTGCATTCTTCATTCTCGGGAGGGAGGAGGTCTCCTTTTAGAAGGATTCTTATCCTCTGTCGCTGTCAGCTGCACTGGTTTTCCCAGCTCTTTCCCAGTTTCTTTCTGCCAAACGTGTTTTTTAATGACCCCAGTCGCTGCCTTCCCCCATTTAATTGGCCTTTTTGTGATATGCGAAGGCTCACAGCTTTGGGTGGTGATGGGCATTAAGCCAGTTTGTTTCCCCTTCCAAGTAGTAAGAAACAAGACACTGAAGTAGACTTCCTCTACTGTCACTAAATTAAAGGTGCATACAATTTTTTTCTTCTCTCCTAGAATTTGTGGAAGTTATTTCACTTCCAAAGAACGACCTACTGCAAAGAATTGATGGTAAGAGCTTTCTGATGCATCCAGTGCACTAATGTGAGCTTCCGGAAACCCTTAGCTTCTCCTCTCACAGCTCCTGCTGGCATTTCCACCCTAGAATACTGTGTCTTAAACAAAAAGCTGTGAGAGACTTGGCCAGGTAGCAGAACTAGTGATAGCATCAGCATTAAGAATTCATGTCTGGAATGCTATACATCTTCATTTTAGTGAAGGGCTTAAATTTCTGGAGAGGAAAAGTTTTTAACAGCATCTCATACTTTTTCCCCCCTCCCCAGAACTCATAGCAGAAGAACGTATTGCAGTGGATGCCAGGGTTTATACTTACGCATTGGCCCTGAAGCGTGCAGCAGAAAAACCGCTCCAAGTTCCTTTTATGAAGTTCTAAAACTAGACGATGAGAAATGTAGTTGAAAACTGCCTGGTTCAGATGGCTTACAAGTAGAACTCTTCTTGTAATAAGTATTTGTAGGAATGATTCTGTTATTTTTATCTAGAATTATGTAACTGACAAAAAGCATTTCTTCTAACTGCCCAATTTATCAAGCCTTGACAGAATAATTGTAATAAAAATCCTGTTTAATTTTCAGAATGGCTCATTTCTTGCTATATTCGTCATTGCACTTATGTTCCAGTGTAAGGGAGGCGCGTAAATAACTGTAGTTGGCGTTGTAGCACTGCCTGTTCAGACCGAGGAGGATGGGAGAAGAGCGCGCTTCTCCCTCGTCCACAAGCAGCATCATTTAAACAACTGCAGGTGATTTTCTGCACCAGGAGCAGCAACAGCTGCGCAGGGACACACGTGCTGCTCTGGTTGCAGTGTCTGAAACTGCAGCTTCAGGAACTTCCTTTTACAATTTACACCTGAAGATGCTGCTTCCTTCTCCCAGCCTTAATTAAACCATCCAGAAAGAGCAAATTGGTTGGTTTGATCTAAGAAATGACAGGCTCTGACCACAACGATGACAGTAACAACCAACCAGCTGGTGGTGCGAACCGGAACAGCACAGGACCCAGCTGGGGGTTTAGTTTGAGGCATGTGCCCCGAGGCAGCACAGCCTTGCTGCTCCCCCTCTCCCTAGGGGACATCGTGTACCCAGGCAGCACCTCTGTCCGGTCTAATTGCTCCGAGGTGAACCTTTGCCAAAGCGACCTTCGGTGTATCCGTGCACAGTCGACTGCTGCTCATTGTGTAAACCACCACCTTAAAGGCCAGGATCTAGGAGTTGTAATAAACATATGCTAATATCGAAGTCTTGCCTCTGAAATAAATTTAGATGAGCATGCATAATAAGTAAAACTTCATTATTAGAAATGAAGCAGAAAACTTGCTTAGAATTTTCATACCTTCACAACACAAAGTCACTTCCAAGTAAAGCATGAGAGAAGACACAACATCAAAATGTGAAATCAAAAGGGAAAAGTTGTCAATTACAGGTGAGCAGAAAAGCTCGATGACTTTAAGGGGAGGAATCGTGAGATTTGTTTTTTAATTAAGGCTGCTAAAAACTGATCAGAACTATATTCTAGAAAGAGAAAGGATAAAGATCAAAAAAGGACCTTCCAGACCTACCTCACTAACAAAGCACGTTAGAAATGATCAAAAACTGCATACAAATCACATCTTGCACAGGTAAGACACTGGAGAGAGCTTAATTAAATAAGTTTATTGTCTAACATTTACAGTTGTTACATTGCCACTGTAAAGTGCGACAACATAAATAAATTTTTCGCAGGAACTCCTCGTTCCCCCTCCTTCCCTTCTATGAACACGGCTTTAGGAACCAGGCCTCGTTCCTTAGACTCACAAAAGCGAAGTGGACGTGAAGCTTTGGTGGCACAGTTTTCACAAGTACGTGTTTAAACACAACTACTGGGCTGAGCTGCTCGTGTGACAGCAGCTGCCGTGCTGTCTCGCCGCAGGCCCAGGGCAAGAAACTGAAGTGCCCGAGGCGCGGCGGCACAGCAAATCCACCACAGAACCAGTTCACGGGTGAGATGAATATCAGCCTCTGGTAAAATGTTTGCTTGTCCACCCTTAGAGCTAAGAGAAGGGTGCCTGGGTGGAGACACCACAAAGGAATAAGGAGTGCCAAGCTCAATGATGGGGAAATGCAAGTTAAAAAAGTATAAAAAAAATTAATGTAAAATACAGGCTACAAATCAATTTTGTCAGGAATACTGGTACGTGGCAATCTGAACTCAGATTTTTTTTTTTCTCCTATTAAGGACAGGGAAATAAATTTAACATTTTAATGCTGTGTGCAAAAATGTTTACCGATATCAAACTGATGCATTTTACCATCTCACTGTAGTGTTTGAACAGCAAGGTAGATGAATTGGTTTCCAGCATTACAGGCAACACTAGATAATACTTAAACAAGATAATGTAAACTTTATTCTTAAGGCAGCCGGTACTAATGCTGCACGCAGGCATTGCTCGATGCCCATTACAGTAATGGGACACGTAGCACTTTAAAACAAGTAAAAAGAAAATCGCGTTATTGGACTAAAGGACGCATGTTGTCAAAATACTTTCCCTTTCACACAAACCATGAAATATTTGGACATCTAGAAAAATAATGCACCTACTCCTCCAACTTCAGCCTGTTCTTTTACAAATATTTCAAAATACTGATAAATAATAGTGACTGCAAGCAGAATGCCAGTGCCAGACCCAATGGCTCCTAGAAAGTCAGCCAATACTGAAAGGGCACCAATGCACAAACCACCAAATGCAGCTGCCGTGGGGATATACCTGTACCAACAGACAAAAAAAAGTATTCATAATCATGGATTTTCACCCAAGGATTCAAACAATACATCTACTACTAAAACAACCAACTAGAATACTGAGCAACAAAGGTAGCGCTGCAAATGCAGCTCTGCCATTAGCTCTTACTATCTTCCATATTTTTACAAAGTAGAAACTAAAATATTCACTGATAGGAAAGCTGTGTGAATGACTGAACACTGGCAAAGCTTTTCAATGAAGAGCGTAATAATTTTATATATATGCATGCTACATAACCTCCATGGGACCAAGAATAACTGCTTTGCCTTAAATATGTACGGCTAAATCCACCTTTCAACATAGATCTGCAGGCTTTGCAATACGGCATAAAACACCACTTTTGTAGTGTCATCTTAGTTCAGTACTGGTAAATTAAACACCTGCAAACGTCAAGGTATCTTCCTTTTACAAACATGGAAGAGATTCAACCCAAATTCCCTCATTATGCCACTTAAACAGAAGACCCTACAGGTTAATCTCTTACCTACTGCTAGAAGCAACTTCTGCATTACTAGGAAAGGCAACAGCTGAATGGGAAGAATCTAGACATTTGCAGTGGAAACGGGTCTCAGATTTTTCCGAGAACACCTGCTCTAGCTGCCACCTCCCCAGCACCCTCAACCACCCAGTACGGCAGCACCGCCGCGACTCCGCCTGTCCTCACCTGTTCAGCTCGTGAACCATTGAAGTATCCCTGTGGCCTCTCATCACCATTTGCTGTTCTTTGAGTTGCTTGGCAACCTGCAAAAAACATTTTATGAAACCGCTGCGGTGTTCATAGTCACCTGGTATTTAGTCAGAGTAATAACTGATAAGTTAGTAGCTAGTCAGTTCTAAATTAGAGGCAACGTTTGAAAACATTTAGGCACGTTTGTCAGAACACCTACATCTTTTGCTGATGACCCGGACACCTCAATCCAAGTCTTTGAGAAGAACGCACAGGATCCCAACATAAATATGATATAAACTATTACATGGACAGGATCCTCAAATATTGCACCCATGGATTCTGGAGGGGACAAGTAGTAGCACAGGCCACCAACAGGGTAAGAGCGAGCAGGGCCACCGCCACTGACATCCTATGAGAAGGGAAGGAAAAGGCAATTAGTTATTTCTCACAGCTCTCTCACATTCCTATCCTGCATTTACAGAGGAATTCCTCTTCATGTTTAAAACAGCTTTTATGTACAAACATTAAAAAGTAAGTCTTCCAGTTTTCTGCTGGTTAAATACCAAAGTTTCACAAAGAAGTAATGTATACATACAATTTTATGCAGTTAAAAAAGTGGTAAGATACTTACTGCCCACTGTCCTAGTAAGTTCACCAAGAAGTTGCCACTAAAACGAACAGACAACATCTGGGAAATAACATAGAGGTTCGAAACTAAGGCAGACTGCAGAATGATGGGAATGTTGGAGGTATAAAAGAGCTTGATTGGGTAGCTGCTGTACTGTCCACGGTATCGTGCCGACTTGATAGGTAAATCAACACGAAATCCCTATGGGAAAGAACACAAATGCACCAAGTTTATTTCCAAGACAGATGGTATTCCCAGTGCGCCTAAAAGCTATTCCTGACCATAGAGTTCTTGCTAGGTAAACAAGGAGAGCAAGGTCTGAGACTGTAAACTCCAAAGGCTGTCTGCTACAGTCTGGATTACAAATGTTAAGGATTTATAAAGTGTCGCTGCTTGGTTGTATCCCATTCTTTTCACACAAACATTCTCCCTCATCTGCTAAATGACATTCCTCTAAAATACGCTTTAGAGAACAGGGTTTGATAAAAGCCTTTAATGGCTTCTAGCTTAACTAGCCAGTTAACAGCAGGCTTTTGTGTAGTAAGTCCAACCTTCTGTTTTCTGCAACAGGCTCCTATCTGAGTAGACCCAAGAAAAGCCACATGGATTTGAAAACCAGGTAATTCTTTTTTTTTGCCAGCACTCTGACTTAACAGCTAAAAAAAATTAAATTAAAAAAAAAAAAATCACATTTTAGACACACACACACACAAAAAAAGAAAAAAATCACCATATGGATCTCCATTAGTGTCAATTTTAGTACATACTTAAATTTAAAACAAAATATTAGCTATTTCAAGAAAATTAGGGAAAAAACAATAAGCTATGCATTAATTACATCGTTGTTTTCTATAACAAATCTGTATCATGCACACCCCAAAGAAGCAAGGTTCTTTATCTCTGTCCAAAGGTATTCTTTTAAGTCAACTACAAATATCAAGTATATTATTCGACTGACACAACCACTGTGGTTCCAGAATCCATTTTTAGTAAAAATACTCTCATAGTGTGTATGGCATTTAATGGAATGTGGGATTACATCACTGTCTGAGTACAAGTATGTCTGGCTATAAAATTTAACAGCTGTACTGTCACAGAGGTATGTTACTGAAATAAGAATAGTGAAATAGAGTTCCTTACTCAAAGCTAAGATACTTCAGTTACCCTAGTTTAACTTTTGCATTTTTTCTCAATGCCTGCAGTGTCTAGGGCCCATGCACTTCTACCTATGCAGTTGCAGAGCTATTACGAGGAACTTCTCATTTTACCTGAAAATATATAACTACAGCAAATACAAATACTGTAGCAATCAGATTCATGAGATTGGGCAAATTCTGTCGGTAAAAAGCCTCCCGCAAAGCCCGGACTTTGTCGGTTCGTGTGGCCAGAAGATGAAATAATGCGATCACAGCACCCTCAAACTCTGTTCCTGCACAAAGCAAAAAAGTAAAAGAGGTTTTAATCCGTAAATTAAAAACATTAAAAAAAATAGTATCTTTCTTTTGGAAATTTTAAGAATGACACATATAAAATCAAATACAATACGACATATATCCTGTTACAACAAACAGATCACAATATAGGATTCTGCTTTAATTTATAGAATGTAGAATAATCTACCAAAACTTCGTTCCTGGTTAAAAAACAAAAGACAAAAAACAACAAAACAAGTCACACACAATGAAATAATACTCTTTTTCTTTCTTTTCTGGGGGCAGGAGGATCATTGGAAGGAAGAAATAATAAGCGAGGAGAAAAATAGTTTTAGAAAAGCAGTAATAAAATGCAATAGACAGAACTACTAAAAATCAGGTGAAAATGAAAGCAAACTAAAAGCATGGCTCAGGATTTCAAATGTATGCATTACACCAGTTAACTTCTTGATGCAAACAGGCTGTATCTTAACTTGGTATTTCTAGGGTCTCAGGACAACCAGATGTCAAAGACTGGCTGAGGAGTGAAGAGATGGTAGTCTCTGCAGAACCAAACCAGCTTAAAGTTAACTTGGAGGCACTGACTATAAAATATCCTATAGCCACCAACAACAGTTGGATCATAAACAAGCCTCTGAACATACAGGATTTCCTATCTTTTCTATTTCTATTGACTAAATGATACTAAAACAAGACTATTTTGGTTTGGAAATCCAAAAATCTTCAGTCAAGGGGCTTCAAGTCCCATTTTAACTACTGCAATTCAAATCAGCAATGGCAAACTTGTAGGTTATTAATCTTAAACGTAAGTCAGATAACATTTTCATCTTCAGTGTTAGAAAACTGACTTTATTAGTTAATCATGGCACATTAAAACATTTAATATCCATCCGATAACCACCTGATAGATTACGTATACTATACACCCACTGAAACATATTGTAACTAGTAATTGCACACGTACCTCTGCCAGTGTTGATGGTGGTGGGACTAAAAGCCTTCCAGACAATGGTTTCACAGATATTGGTAGCAATGAACAGGGAAATACCAGACCCCAAGCCATAACCTTTCTGTAGCAACTCATCTAGCAGCAACACAATCAAACCAGCAACAAACAGCTGCGGGAAAAGAAACAAAACTGAGTAGAAACAAGAATAAATCAAGTCAAGAATTATGTATTAATTGCCTGCTTCAGTATTTTTGTCATGTTGGAGAGTGATCATTAAGTTTTTCATCTAAATATCATTCATGCAGCATTTTTGCCCTCTCACGTACAAATGCCTGCGCATCTCACCTGGCAACGATCTCTGTAACCTTTCAACACTGACGCTAGCAAAGAGATTATTCAGTAAGCACTTTTTTCACAAGAAATGTTTAATTTTGTCCATTTACTGCTTCGCTCTACAGGGTAATGTCTCAAAGCTGCATCTGTGCCGTTCATTGAGAAGTCCTCCATGGTACTGAACAGCAGCTACTGCTTTGAAAGTCTACTAATTCCTGTATTTCGAATCAAACAGCCACTCCTATCTGGAACACTTTTGATATCACCTAACCCAACTTTCTGCTCCTTTATGGAATATTTAGAATTTCTCATATATAGACAGATACAAAGGATGCTGCTTTACAGCATTACAAATAAATAAATAAATAAATGGCAACCAGACACAGAAAGGTTTTTCCTTCCAGCTACACTGTATCTCACCAGTCTCAGTTACACACAAAATAGCTCATTACAAACCTGAATTATAATAAGAAGACAAATTCCAGCACCCATTTCAGCAGTATCTCCATACATTCCAGTCATAACATACACAATGGCTTGCCCAATGGTAATAATCATCCCAAATACTAAAACAAGAGAGAAAGCAAATCCTTTAAAAAAAATCTGCTGAAATCACCTACCAAAGAAATCTCACATCTAATGTCAGTTAGGTAGGCTGCCTTCCCAAGAATAAAAATATGTTTATTAATTTTAATTGGAACAGCGCTTACATTTCTGAGCTCCATTGAACAAGGCTCTGTCTTTTGGAGTATCACCAACTTCAATGATCTTCGCTCCAGCTAGCAGCTGCATGATCAAACCAGATGTCACAATGGGTGAGATACCTAATTCCATCAAAGTACCTAAAGAGGAAGAAATATTAATACAATTGCCATTCAATCATCTACTCTGAGGATATTAGGTCTGTTGAAAGGTTTCTGACCTATAAGGAACATTTTTCATAATGCTTCAAACATGTATATTCCAGTACAGATATGATCAAGACAAAGACTGTTACCTCCTCACAAAAGAAGGCTGCTGTGTTGAAGTCTGTAATTTTGAAGGCAGCATAAGAAACCTACGTAGCTTTTCACTTGAAATATTTTTGTGAAACCATGCTAACACTAAAGGTCAATGCACACCAAAGTTGAGCTTTTTGGCATATCGTGTCATGGAACCTTTCACTGGGAAGCATCTTGTCCCTGGTTGTTTACTTTGTCAGTGCTTCAGCTGTCAGAGTTTCCAAAAGTTGAATTCTGAAGACCACAAGAAAGATGCTGCAGATCCACAGCAGCTGATAATGCCACTCTTGGAATCCCTGACTCTAGTTAAGAGCACAGAAGTTTAGTATTAAACTAGTTCTTAGCAAAACAAACACATCTCATTAAGATGCTCTTCTCTAGCAATTCACCTACTGGTGCAATGTCACCAAGGTATCAACTTCCAACTGTATACAACTCGAACGGGGCGATGTGACTTCATAAAACACTACTGCTGCAGCATATAGGTGCATATTCCGGAAAACCTGCCTGGTCTTCCCTCCCAACCACTTCATCTGGTGTAATAAAGACTGGGCATCACTCTGCTTGCATCCTCAGACAGATGCACCTGCAACACCAGAACTACCACCTGATACTCCGATTCAGAAACATTCTCAGCAAGGTCTTGTTCAAGTACTGATACCTGCTCGAGTTATATTATAATGCGGTACGGAAGCAGAACTGAATGTACACAGAGCAATCAAACTCAGGAAAATAACCCGCCTCTTGCCTGTACAATACACTCTCCCGCCTCAATACAGAAATATTCTTCCACAACATCTTTCTGGAGCAACACCATTATAAGGAGAGAACTTTTTGAAATTTAATTTGTCCTTCAGCTAATACCAGAAAATTTTCTCCTATCTGAAGATGTTGAAAGCTTAAAAAAACAACACACTGAAAATCTGGATGAAAATTAAGAAACTAGAACTACCAAGTCATAAAACTTTCCACATTTCCCAAGCTGGAACCTTAAAAAGTTTGGGTAAGGACACATTCTACGAGTTTAATATGCAGTTAAGCCAGATGAAATTAATTCTTCACCATCTTTTACATGGTCACTCAAGGGACATGAATAATACTCATTTTTTCTGATGTTAAGTCACAATATCCACCAGGGAGATTCAAAAGAGAATCAGCTTACAATTCTTTTCAATTCTGTACATTTAAGTGGAACTCTGTTCTCACGTGTAGTACAGTGGTGTTCCATCACAAAATTACCAAGAAAATTATTAATGAAAAACCATTTAGCCACTGCAGACTTGTAAAGTCTCAACAAGAACCAGTGACAGCGGAAGCATGGTCTGTAAGGTCATACGGAAGATGAAAAGAAGTGGAAACAGTATATCCTTTGCTGACCAGCCTAGAAGCTTATCTATCCTCACAGCCCATCTCTGAAAGGCGCCCCTTCTTTGGGGAAAGTATCATTCTGTACTTCCCTTTTCCCAGATATCAGTGATTTATTCAGAAACTGCTTTGGCAACTTCTGCCAGTAATTTATTCAGAAACTTGGAGTTACAGGTGCTGCTTAGTAATACTATTGGCTGCCATTTCCCTCTTACAGTATAAGGAAAAAATGACTATCCATTCCCTATCCACTTTTTTCCAGCGATGAAGACTTAAAAGACATTTGGGATATGTGCATTTCATGGCAAAAATCCTTTTTTAGGATCTCTTTCTACAGATTAATATCTACCTTAGATTATATCCCTGGTGCCTTTTCCTGATTGTTTTTTTAGTTCCACTATATCCTTTGTGGCATGGTAGATTAGAACTGCATGCAATATTCAATCTGTGGCACCTTACAGATTTGTACAGACATTTCTTCTGATCTTTTCAACCAGCCATTAGGTCTTCCCTTTTATCCCGCAATAACTTAATTTCCTGAAGAGCTTTTAATAAGCAATCTAAATTCAACAGAGGGTTTTAGAGCACTTCCCCTGTTGTCTGGAGTCTTCTTTTCATTTCTGCCTAACTACCAGAGTCCTCGTTTCAGTGCTAATTTTTAAAAATTTTAAGCATTATTGCACAATTATTTTTTTCGGGTTTTGGTTTTTTTTTTTAGTGTGTTTGCTGCTACCAAAATGTAAAATGTGAAAGCATTAAAGTCATTATTATAACGCGGTTCTTTCATATTTATATCCTACAGTCTACACACTGTTCAGTAAGTACCATGTTAAACATCATGTCACCTCTCAGGGAAATCTCTACTTCTCCAACAGCAAGAAAATTAGGACATCAAAAACTTTAGTCTTTACCTCACGTCCTCCAATGACATCTAGTCAGTTGACTTAGGTGTAAATTAACTTTCCCACTCGGGCTTTTTGTTGCCTTTACAGTCTCTCTAGTCTTTTCTTGGCCACTGTCACCATTCTGTCTGGGCAGTGGATAGCATATTTAGCATATTGTCACACGCTGCTAGCGAGACACAGAATCTTTACAATCACATTCTGCAGTAGAGCTTGAAACAGCTAACTTATTTACCTTAATTTATTATGTTCGCTGGTGTGACAAAATTTGCCATCCCTAAGTAATTTGTACCTTCACATTAGAGGTGACTTTCTTACTTCCAGCCAATTTTCCATGACACAGATGAGGTCAGTGTCCTCATTTAGAGACATGCATGCCAGGGCACCCGTCTTAAGTTTTAGACTTCTAGCATTAGTTTAAGTCATCTTATACATTTGGTTGGGATCCACTTCTCTATTCTAAAATAAGTTAGTTTGGCTTTGCTAAACTATAAGCCTAACCATCTCTGCCCTGAGCTTTCCCACCTATAAAATTACTCACCCATAAGGTTGCCAAAATGTTATGAGGTGTAACTGACGACTAGAAAATAGTCAACAATAGTCAACACTCTCATACCACACAACAGTGCTGTTCATAAGTGGTGGGGCAGATTCCCTGTCCCATATATTAATCAGAAAGAGACTGCTCTACAATTCAAAACAGAATCATCCCAAAACTTGAGAATCAAGATTAATCTCATGTGTACATCAAAGGAAACCCCATTCCTAAGACAAACTGCTCCTCAAGTATCAGTGAATTTTAATTACATCTGTGTTAAGAACTTTACGAAGTGTTTCAACATGACATCCGGGTGGTATCAAGTTCAACAGCAAACTGTTTTTCTCCTGGTCTGTTTATACCGCTACAAAACAGAGAAAGGAATAATCTGCTAACCTCTGTTTGACGCAAGAATGACTCGCATCCAGTAGAACGGATCTGCAGAATCTGATGACATGATTCCAAACAAAGGTATCTGTCAAAGTGCACAGTGGTATTAAGCAGATATACAAAAAAAGCTTACATTAATCCAAAAATCTTAACGTGTAATGAGTCAACTGTTTAATAATTTATTCCAACTTTTTTTAAAATTAAACCAGAGCATACAATAACAGACATACTGACACCATCTATTTTAATCCTCCAACTGGGGTATGACTCAGAGGACTAAACTATGAACACTAAGACCCTTCTACAGGAAAAAGCAGAAACCCCTAGAAAGAAGAGTCAGCGCACATAAACCAGCCTACTGAAGTTGAAGATGTAAATGCCTGACACATGCGGTTCTGGAGTACTACAGACCCCCAAAAGAACAGAAAAAGCATAAAATAAATAGGTTAGCCACCACAAATCATTAACAGAACGGAGAAAAATATTAGATGATATTCAATTACTTATTTCACCAAAATTTTTGCAGCCATTTTGAGTTAAAAAAAAAAAAAAACAAAAACACAGAACTGCAGCAAAACGTCTTTGAGAAGACAGAAGAAAGCAGTTGTTTTCTTTCTTTTAAACAGTCCTAAACAGAATTCCTTTTCAGTACAAATTAAAGATACAGCATAAACTACAACGTAAGTGTCTTCCTCCAGCAAGTTTAAATATTCAAATTCTACAGCTGGGAATACGTTCCACATACGGAACTGTCAGAGTTAGCAAAGTTATACAAAACCTTCAATGTTCTGTATGTCAGTACTGAGGGATTTTGAGCTCTTTAGAACTCTTCTTAAGCACAAAAACAGCAGACGAGGAACCCAGGCAATCTTACAGATTAATTCCTGAAAACTCTAGTCTGCACCATCTGATTTCCTATTCAACAACTATAATCTTTTGTATAGATTCAAAATCTTAATTATGCATATATCCAGCAGCTAGGAAACACAGATAAAACTACATGTTCTTCCAGCTCTAGTATCATTCCTGCCTCCTCCTCCCCAAAAAACAAGGTGCAAGAGCTGGGTTTTAGCCTTTCAACAGTCCTTTGGAGTTGTAAACAAAAATTATTAAACCACTGCTTCAGAGTCTGGAATGGGTAAGTTAATAAATGCAACCTAAAAAGCCTGATCCTGAAGACATACAGTTCATTGCAAATGTTCTAAGAGGTCTAAAAATTCTAAAAAAAAAAAAAATGTATCAAGTAATCATGGATTCTCACTTTCTGCAATATCTAAATAGTCTTCTTTTAAAAAAAAAACCAAACAAAAAACACAACACTATCCATTTACAACCCATGTACAGGTTCTAGGAACTCCTGCAACTGTGAATAATAAAGATCACGTAAATGCTTACAAAGACCTGTGTTTTGGAGGGTTTTTAGCTAACATCTTTGCTGGCATATTCACAAAAAAACAAGTTCTAAATGTCAACTTAAACACCTCAGAAAAACGTTTTTCTGCAATTTTTACAACCCATCAGCTTGTTCAAGAGAAATCGGGTAAAACCAGTCACTTTATTTCACTTTCAAACTTGTTACTGCTAAAATTTAAATTCATCTGTGAACAGAGAGTAAAGAATGCATAATATCGCTCAGTTTGTTTAGACTACTCAATGAATACTTAGCTTGGCTGTTTACCCTGCAGCCAGTATCATCATTTGACAGGACCTTTCATCTAACAAGAGAAAACATTATGTATTTTAGACTAAATAGAAATTATTAGTTTCTGAAAACATACACCATCAATAACAAAGCTTATTTCAGAGAATGAGGTTTCTTTAACTGAACTTTAAATACTTAACCATAAAAATACATAACAAACTGGTAGCTCAACATGGAACAAGTTAGCATTCTATTTTAGATGTACAGAGTGCACATTTTCTGATACACAGAAAACATCGATACCTACCTGGCAGCATACTAAGAAAATGAAGAGCGTGATAGCCGTCCATAGTACCTTCTCTCTGAACTGGATCTACAGAACAGATCACAGAGATTAATGTGTTCATTGTATGTAGAATTTTCACTGTACTCTCACGTTACTAGTAAATGCTGTATCATTCAGAATTAAATGTGAGGATATTGAACTAGAAGGCATCACTTCTCATTAGAACTTATTTTTCATATGATTTCAGATTTTATAGAGACAGACAGTCATGGGCTTCTGTGTAGTCGAAGAAAACTTATATGGGAACTGTCAGACAGCATAACTTACATTCAGTCAGTAGAATATATTTTATATGTAGTATTCTAGTATAGTGGATATTTACAGAAAAGCAACAGTATGGCTAAAAAACACGGACATACCAGAACAAACGTGAAAAATTAATGCAAAAAACTTATCTTCGGTGATTAGTGCTCTAGGCTTGAACAGAAGGGAGGCACTGTTTTGTAAAGCTGGAAGTTATTAAACTAAAGCACTATAAAGTTTTTAAAGAGATTTCACTGCTGTGAAGACAAGTCATAAAAACCAGAAGAACCATGAATTTTGGACAGCAATTCAATATATTTAGAATTAAGTTCTTCAAAGGGTGTAAGAAGAAGCTTAAATCCACCATTATGTTCATGGGCACATACCACAAAATAATTTTTAAAGACTCTTTTTTTCCCTCCAAAATATTTTTATCAATGTAGATTATATATTACTTTAAAAAGAATGTCAGATCAACAATCATTAGTCACTAATACATTGAAGTAAATCTGAGGGTCACAACATTTGAGGCAACGGTAACTAGTGCCAGGTGCAAGAAGAGAAGAATCACAAGATTTAGGTTTGAACCAGCAGATTACTCAAAGCATGAGATAAAGAAATGCACTTGAAGAGACCAGAGAGCGCCAAGATGCAGTGTTATGTTCAAGTTCCCACCTCTCCTCCATGGACCGTAAACTTTAGGATAAGTGTGTTCACTGTAGGCAAGAGCACAGCAGCTACTAAAACGTGACACGAACTAACATGTAAGAGAGATACAGCAGAAATACTAGCTTTCTGCCTCCAACCACTGAATCTGCCTGTAGAGAAGTAACAAGAAAAAGGATTAGTGCCTGGGTTTATAGGTACTGAACACCCACAAATGAGAAACTACAAACCGACACAGCAGCACAGCTTCTCAAGCAAAAGACAACCCAGAAGTAGTCTGTAAGTGAAATCATGCACTTACTTAGAAGCTAAATAATCCCGGCAATTTAATTTATTTACCAATACTGCCTCACTCCTTTAAAAGAGACCAGGTGCTAAAAATACTTGCAGTACAAAGTTTAAAAAAAGAAAAATAGTGACAGCAGCAAATAAATACAAACAGTATCCAAAAAGCGTTAGACTTTATGCAGTGCTGACCCACTTTATTAAGTGCTGTTTGAAATCTACAATTAAGATTTTAAATACAGACTTCTAAAAAGAAAAATGCTTAACCAAATTATCTCTGCAGCCCAATAGTTAACCTTAGCTTCTGAGGTATCAGTCAAGCTCTACAACTGCTCTGGCTCTCTCTGTAACTGTGGTGAATGTGAGTATTAGAGAAATTCTGCATCACCCAAATCACAGTCACTCAGAAGGAACACTGTCTCTATGATTCAAAAAGACAAAAAAGAAAAAGGAGGCATCTGAATCCATATGCTAGGAACAGCAAAATATAGACTGGTACCAAAATACTCCAGCCACAAATGATAACAAGCACAGGGACAGTACATTTCATCATCTGATCAGATTCAACTGGACATTTTTCTTAAAACTTGTGAAAATGAAGGGACTTAAGCATCATCTTCTTGCTTTCTGAACAGTGTGTTTTACTTAGAAATAGCTGTGCATATGAGAGAAATATGAGCCAATACTACTAACTACAAAAAGCAGCAATTGCTTCTGTTAATCAAAACACAGAAGCAACACTCCCTAGTGACAGAAAAAGCCCACTTCCCTCATCAACAATAATGGCAAAACGATTCAATGAGTGCCCAACTGAATCAAAACTTCACGTTCACTTAACAATCAATACAAGTTTAGAGAAAACAGATTTCTTTTTCTATTTTGTTATCTTCATTTCTTGTCCTGGCCTTAATCAATCCACTAAAACCATTACTAATGATGTCTGCCAGTGACATCTGGCAAGAAAACAACAAATAACAAAGAATTACAGTTTTATAGAATGACCTAGGTCACTTGATAGACTAAACACAAGCAAGGAACATAACTTAAAGTGGTCAAAGGGCTCTTCAGTCTAGGAAAGATGTTCCCAATTATATTTTCACTTCAAATGTGTACAAAGCTGGCAACTGGCAGTCATTGCCTAGACAGTGACCTAGATAGTAATAAAGACAAAGTGACCCAAATAGCAAGGACAGGAATCTCGGCACCCCTCTGGGCATCCTTCATCTGCTGATGGAGGACATGGGCAGATCGAGCCCCCGTTCCTCTCTGGCAAACAGACAGGGAGGAGGGAAAAAAACAAGGGAAAAATCACAACTGTCAGTGAGCTTTACAGATACATCAATATCTGTAGATGTGTCTTAACTTCCCTCTTCCCATCCACTTCACTTGACAAAAATGGGATGGACGTAACCAACTGATCACAGATATGCCCTAAGTCAGCAGCGGAAGACTGCACTAAGGTTCATCACTGCAGAAACAAAGACAGGTACCTTCCACCCAGATCTGCTGCATCCAAATCTTAGCACAGGGTCTGCCTCTGGAAATTCCTGCTCTGAAGATGCCTTTGTCTGACCTAAATAATTTGTTTGGAAACTTGTCCCAAGAGGGAAAGATACTGGAAAGCAACAAGGAATGACAGATGGAGCAAAGAGCCAGGGGACAAATCCCAGTCTTTTTAAAAATCAGTTCCAGAGGGGAATAATCAGCAGTTTTTATTGTATCTTCTCCATTCAATCCAGCAGGTTCAGCCATGGTTACTGGCACAAACATCTCTGCATCCAGTCCTAACCTTCAGGAAGCTCTCATGAACAAAAGAGAATCTCTCAGATGGTGTCATGTTCCCAGCTATGCATTTTCTTTTAAGAATATAAAAATCCACATTTAGCTCTTAAGGAATTTTCATGCCAGTCATGACAATGAATATTAGGAAAATTTGTTATTCTAATTAGAACCTTTGTCACCTAGGTGACTCACCTTGCTTGAGTTTTGGAAGTAAAAAATGGGCTTGTGGTTTGGTTTTTTTTTTTTTTTTTTTTTGACGAGACAGGTCTCTTTCCGATCTGTAGGAATTAACTAATTTTAATCTAGAAATTGTGCCAAGAAATGGGAGGAGTTTCTAGGGCAAGGGGAATAGAGAGATCAGTTGTAAATGAACTCAGTTCACTGATTTCAGAACAAAGAAAAGCGTCATATCCAGTAGGTGACCAGGGAGCAATTACCTGAACTGTATCACAGATCACTTTCCCACTTCATCAAGGTGAATCACAGCTATGGGAGTAGAAAATATTTTGTGGGAAAGGAAGAACTGAATTTGTGGCTCCTGAATTACAGCGCAAGCCTTTTTGAAGTAATACATAAGCCAGCTCAAAGCCCAGAGTTGTAACCAGCACTCAGTGCCAACAGTGGTATCCACAAAGACAACAATGATATCCACACAAAAAAAAGCTTGAAAACGCTGTTCTAGTATATTAAAACAGACCCAATCATATGGAGCTGAAACTAAATAAACTTAGCTAGAGATGAAACTTCTTTAAAAACAATTAGTTAGCATAATTACCAAGGGGAACAACTTATCAGAAGGCTGTAAAAACTCATTCATCATCATGGTAATCTTTTACCTTAACATGGATTCCCCCTCCTCCAAAGAATGCATCCTACTTTAGGGCCCACTGTCTGTATTTACATTGGAGTGTGGAACTGAATATCACAGTGTTCTCTTATCTTTAAACTAAGAGAAGTAAGAACATAATGTGGCACTCACTTTTCTTTCCGGTTTCTGGATTTCAGGTAACACTGCACAGAACGGCTTAATAACTTCTAAAAATTTTACTGTTCCAGAAAAGCAAACACACACAAAAGAAGAGAGAAAAATGTATTAATGAACCTTTATGAATTTATAAAACTTCATACAACTTTATTTAACTTCTAGAAGATAAGAATAAATTGCAAGTAACACTTTATAAATGAATTATTTAATCAACGCACACTCTAATTCAATGTCTGAAAACTAACGCCCTCTTCTTAAAAGAGTTGAGAACAGGGCAAAAACGTGAACAATAATTCTTGTTCTGATCAGATTTGGCCCATCCTTTTTTCCACAGCTGGAATCATTTTAGATGAGAAGCGGCACTGTATCGATCACCAGAAGTGAACTAAGTTGTATTCCACCTAAAAATAAATGACCTAGTATCAGTCTGTGCTAGTTAAACACAGAAGCAAAGGATACTGACATCAAAAAGTATCCATGCACATATTAGCGTCTTATGCTTTACAGAAATATTTAGCTGAGCAAATAATTCAATCACTAAAATATGTTTAGAAATCGTAATTTAAATCACTGCGACGCCTATTCTGATCAGAACTTTGGGGATTTTAACTTTTGATACATCTCTCTTCACAGTTTCTCCTTTAAAAACACAGAAAAGCTCAACAGTTTGCGCTCTTTTTCTGGGAGAAAAAGTATTTTAAAAAAATCAAAGCACATGCGCTTGGTGGGCAATCTGTCTTCCAACTTGTCCATTATTCCCAGCCCCAACACACCGGAGAAGCACAGAAAACAGTCACCTCTTCAAAGAAAACGCGTTTATTACACCGCGAGCCAAGCAACGTTTTGGCGGCAGCGCCACGTTCACCGTTGCGCTCTGCCGTGACACGTTTCTCCTGTATTTATCCCGAGCCCTGGGAGCCCATCGCGAGACGCTCGCCCTACGGCAGCGGCACGGCTCCCGCAGCGGAACACGGAGGCCAGAGGGGCAACCCCCACCCCACCGCAGCAGCAGGCGGTGCCCAGCG